TTCTAACTTTAGAAGCGACGACATTGAAAGAATGCGTACAATATCATGAGGGGTGTAAATCTATGCAAATGTCGATGTATCCCCACGGCCACATACTGTCTCGTTTGAAATAATGACATGAAAGAAACTACAATTATTCCATTCATATCACAGGAGAGTTGAACATACACCATTTTTTAATAGATAAAATTAAAGAAATAAAATTAAAAATCAACATATTCAAGTTCAACAAAACTTGAATTCGTATCCAGGTTTCATGTGATATGGAATGCATAACGCATACATATTTTACGGGATGATTTCGTCCGTCTATTACTGATTCTGGGTCAACCGTGAGCTTTCCTCTTATTGTTGAACCCAGATTCTTTAAAACCTCAAGACACAAACACGAGTTACTAATTTTGTACTTTTATATAGAATCGGCAAGGAATATACTTTTACATGAGTTTGGGAACTATCAGCACCGAAGGTCTGATTCCAACTGACTATAATTTTTCACAACAAAAACATAAATACTGAACAAAGTCAGAGTAAAATAAAAGGATTAACAAAAGGTATATAGAAATCAAGTATCAAACAATTATTGAGCGAATGGTGACATTTTAGCAATATTTATATAATAGAATTCAAGATGAAAGGTTAAGTGTCAATAAATATAAACAGATGTCAATTAAAGAATTAACTGTCCAATCCCTGACGATGCCTCAGGTGGGATTAAGGCTGTGCGGAATTTATATAACTTATCACATTTGCCGAAATATAAGAAAAGTTTTGACAACAATTTACACAAAGTCCGAAAGTTAATTTACACTGTAATTTAAAATAAGTCCAAAAATGTTGTATTTTACACCGTAACACATGCTCCGCCTTCGCGTAAAACACGTCCTCGTGTTTTGATTTTTTTTTTTCTCTCAATAAAACCGGCCTCTTCTTGGTCTTTCGGATCCTTGACATCTCCGGGATTGACAACGGCGTTGATTTTCTAAAAGGACCGATTCTATGTGATCTCTTTCATCCTGCAATGTTTCGATGGTCTGCAGCAGGGCGTTGTTTTGGTTCCTTAACTCTTTGGTCGTTTTCTCACCTTCAGCCAGAATTTTCATTACATACTGGTTATGTTCTTTTCCGATCTCGTTTAATTTCCTCTGCATTAAGTTCATAATCACTTTATCACCATGGGCGTCTTCTTCCAGTTTTCGAATTTTCTCACGAAATATGTTATCATTAGCATTGTTTGATTGTTCTTGCATCTTCTTTTTCATAAACATATTTTGATTTCCAAGTTTTTCGATTTCACATTGCGCTTTTGATAATTTGACCGTCATATTCTTCTTCTCTTTATTTGACATGCATAGTTGGATTTTAACATTTTTCAGTTCAGTTCGTAGAGTACACGATATATCACATATTGAACGAAAATGATTGTCTCGAAGAGAACTGAATGGTAATTCTCGCAGAATTCGTTTGTTTTCGAGATACTTGCTCAGTCGTTTCATGTCTCGCGCTTTCCTTTTGCTTGGAATTACTGGTTCTTTATGTTCGGGTTTTGGCGCTGCTTTCTTCATCTGTGTAAAACACATCCTCGAATAATGTCCAATTCTGTGGCATTGGTAACACTTCTGGCTTAACGCAAAACATAAAACGTTAGGATGCACGTTTCCGCACCTTCCGCACATTGGATGCTGACATGAAGGAAAGTTGAACTTTCTCTGTCTCCACTGCGGTCGGAAAGAATAATCCATTGCTGGTCCTAAAACGTCAGCTTCATCTGTCAAAATCTGGGGAAAACTCGCTGTGTAGCTCTTGTAGAGGTCCAGGATCTGACTTCTACAAAGTATATGTAGCAGTCCCGGGTGTCCTTACCCTTAGGATTCTCGCACCAAGTTTTACGGGAACGTTTAGTTCGTCAATACTAATTCTGGTTCAACCGTGAGCTTTCCTCTTATTGTTGAACCCAGACTTTCAACTAAACGTTCCCGTAAAACATATATGGACTAAACACTAAAATCCTTCAGTAATTTTTTCATGATACATATAAAAAGAGTAGTCAATATTTATTCTGCATTCATGAATTTAAAAACTAAAGCATACCTCCGGGATTCAAATGACGAAATACCAGTATATTTGCACTGTAAACGACGTTTCGTCAAACGCTAATGGTCTGCGACGCGAAAAAGGAATGGGTGGGGGTGATAAGGGTATTCAAAAATTGCCCAAAAAATCTACATTTAAATACGCTTTACATATGAGAACTTTTAAATTTGTAAGTTACTATATTTTTGAAGCAAAAGCAATATTCTAATTCAATTTTTTTAATGTGCATTTGTAGATTCATATAACAAAGTGATCGACCCCCGTCTGAAACACGCGCGGGAACGTGATTTATTGAGAAGGGGGGAGGGGGTAATTTTCCGCTATTAAATCAAAACTGGTCGTACAAAAATTATACAAAAAATTATGAAGATTATTTTTACTACCAGCTTCCTAAAGAAAGTTTTTTACCAAAATTAAACGACAGGTTTTTTCACACAAAAAAAATTGAATTTGAAAAATACACAATTTTCAAGGCTCAGATAATTCATAATTTTTCAGTTTAAGGTCTTTAAAAATTGTTTTGATGATATGTATATCAAAAAGATGACTATATGTGTTTGTGTTAAATGGCTAAAGGAATAAGTCAATGAAATTTGACATTTATATCTAAGCTGGCTTTTTTGAAAATCGAGGTTTAAGTAGTTCATTGATTAAAAATTTTCTCTCCTTGTAAACAACTAAAGGGGGTAACTTTTGGAAGTTCCTGTCCAAAAACCGCTCGAACGATTTTGGCCGAAATGTGCATACATGCAGTAGATATAGTCATGTATTAAATATACAAAAATAACGAAAATTAAACGACAGGAATTTTTTGGGGTAGGTGTGTTGTACATCCTTAAAATGCATTTTGTCTTTAAAAATGTTTTCATGTTTTTACAGATGAATGGAACATATGGAGATAAAGTTGTATATATTTATAAAAGTAATTAATATTAATGTCAATAATTTTTTTTAACATTCACCTGAAAATTGTTTACGTATCCATGTATTTATAATTTTGCTTTCAGTGTTTAATCTAATGATTAGAATATCATGCATATATAATTGTTATCATTATAATAAACTGAGGTTCCTATATATACATGAAAGTATTAAAGTTTGAAGAAGAAATTGTTAGTATTTGTTTTATTTTTCTCCTGTTTTCCAACCATTATAACTTACTCTAAGTACTCTGATGACATCCCTTTCAGGAAGCAAACACTCTACCATTAGGCTGCAGTGACCGGTACTGCACATAAGAAACATTGATACTGATACTTTCAAATTATCTGTGTAGTCATCTCCTTCCCTCGATCGACCGCATTTTTTAGGCAAACTAAATTTTTTTAAGATACTGTGAAATTAATAATTTTAATTGGTATTTAATTTCCGTTGTTTTCGAGGTATAAAGAGATCCACAAATTCATGTCCACCACGAAATTTAAAATATCATATACATCACAACTGAACAATCCTTCATCCACGAAATCAAATTGCCACTAACCCTTAGTTTTTCCTCAAACCTCGGAATTTAACCCCAAAATATGTGATTTTACAATAGTACTTATTCCACGTGTGTTTTCGTTGCGACTTTGATATGAAATTTATATATTCATTTCGACCACATTGTTACCATTGTATAATTATCAGCTTTATATCTTGATCTTTAGCTTACTTAGTTTTCTGGGAAGGAAATGTTTTGTTAATTGTACTAAACATCCTTAAGTTCAATTGAAGCATGTACAAGGGGGGGGGGGGTCAAAAAGTTCGCGAACAAATTGAATAACTTACATAAAACAAATGAAATGAGGTTTAAGTCTTCAATATTTTTTAATTAAAAGAGCCATCTCTGACTTTAATTCATATTTGTCACTGTTCTGCCCATTCGAGAATCACGTTTCTTCTAGGTCGCCATAAAATTCGAGATCACCTGACCATAATTCACTAACCAAATATTTGAATAATACACACCCAAAAATAGATTGCGTGTTATTGAAAAAATGTGTAAAAATAGAACCTTGGCCTACATAGCGTTTGGCTAGGTAAAGGTCGTTGACAGGAAATAAATGGGCGGATCGTAAAAAAAAAAAAGAAATAAAAATGCTCATAAATTTTTGTAAAAGTTTAAGTACAATTTGCCAAATGTAACTTAAACAAGCTAAAAAAGAAATATTTTTCTCACTTTGAATAAAATATTAAAGAATCCAATATGTCTCACAGCATGCAAAGTGGCAGATCCAAGGGGTGGGGGTGTTACAGGGTTGCACCCCCCACTCCTTGGATTTGGTAAAAAGATAGAGAAAGAAGAGAGTCCCAAATTTTTATTGTGTTTTTACTACAGAAAATGTTTGGTGTTATGACATGCTCTGAAGCATTCTGTTCATAGACGCTAAACTGTTTTCCCGAGTCTTGTCTTTCTTACCATGCAAGAATTTCTTTATAATAAGAACAGTCCATTTGTCAGACATGACCAAATATCAGAAATAAGATGGTTGGATAAGGATATCCTTCCCCAGAAAGAACATGGTGACCATCACAATCCAAGTATCCTGTCTCAGTAACGCCGTTTACAATTGTATCCGATATGGATATATATAGTATTGGGGCCTTTTTTTTTTATCATATTTAATATGATTAATGTCTAAAGTAAACATACAGTGTTTTATAGGGATTTGATAATGATTTCATTGTTAAGACATACAACTTTTTTTCCTAGCTGTAATTTCGCGATCTTATCGTGTGGCATAACAAATTGCCCAACAAAGGACAAAACTCTTCCTCAGCTTGCCATCGCTGAGCTAACAAAACAAACGTCATTTTTAACCATCTCCCTCTTTGCAGAAATATTTCGATCTCTTTGTCTTCAATCTTATGTAACGTGTATGACATTTGTCTGTCAAACTGATAAGAATATAATCTACAACCCCATTTCCTGGTGCAGAGTTGGAAACATGACTTGGTTTTTGTTAATGAATCTTCTTTCTTTCTTTGTAAATGGAGAAAAGAGGCTGCTTCTTGGTGATCCTTCGTTGCTACAGTCGCAGCTTCATGAACTGGAGGTCAAATTTAAGGACCTCATGTCGAAGTACAGTGAGCAACAGGCGGCCTTGAATGACCTGCGATCTGAGCACAGTGCGCAACAGACGACCTTAAATGACCTGAAATCCAAGTACCAAAGTCTCCTGGTCTCAAACAACGACCTTGGTACTAAATTGCAGTCAGTTAAAGGTAGTACATATACTTTAAATCTGTTTATCTTTCACTTTAACATGTTAAAATCGCGCATTAAAAGATTGAGGAGAAATATGAAAACCATCTATCCAGAAGTGAAAAAAATGAACTATATAGATTACATGATCATTTCGTACTGGTCCTTGCTGACAAAGCAGGTAATTACATTCTCTTTGTTTGTAAGGCTCTTTTTTATATAAATTGCATTTGAGAAGAACTTGGATTTAATTCTACAAGTGGTGATACAACTTATACTCATGTGTCCCTTTCTTGTCAAGAAATTCTTCAAAATCATATATCAGTTTGGAATATTAAAAAATATTATTTAAAAAAATATCTATATTCCATTTCGAAACTTCATAAATTACATAGAAGGTCCCAGTATAAATGTTCAACCAAGCCTCTTTCTTTACTTCTTAATGAGATATTAACCGTAGTGAAGGAGAAACTTCAAGAATACTTTACAACAACATACACTGTATTCGAGAAATGGTGTAAATCAGATGTTAATTAAGAAATAAGATATCATTTTTAGAGTTTCATTGGTAGGCCTATATGACATGAAGTCGGTCACGTGATCAAATGCTATAAGGGCGTTAAAGTATGTTTGATCACGTACCGACTTCATGTCAAATCCCTATGAAACTCTAAAAAAAATGATATTTTATTTCTTATATTTATATTTTACGTTTTAAGTCATGTTACAAAGAAATATGGCATTATTTAGACTTTGATTTTGAAATGCAGCGTAACGTAATTACGACGTCATGTGACGTCACAGTCGAAACTTTCCAAATTGCTCGTGCAGTTTGCTTTCCATATGCAAGAAAGGCTGATCATGTGACCAACTACATGTCATTGAAAATTGAATTTCAATTTTATTAACATTGTTATATAAGGAAAGACACATGTGAATTTTACTTTGTACTCTGTAGTATTGTTCAATTAAGTATCAGACGCACATTGATAATAATATTAATTTGTCATACTATTTCATTTTGTTAACAGGTGGAGCTATTTTTGTCCGATGGGGCAAGAAGGTGTGTCCATCAATGGCACGGAGCAGATATATTCAGGTGCCTATATTTTCATATTTGCTAATTCATTTGTTACTTTAAGATAATCTTTTTTAGCATTTTTAACAATGAACTGAAAATTCGATCCAAGTGTTCATGTTTTAAAAAATCTACACTTAATGTATTATTTCAAATAAATAATCGTTATAACGCAGAAGGATTGTTCTTTGTTTATCACAAGCATGCATACAATTTTTAAATCAAAAATATGCAGAAAAAAACCTTTTTCTAATGAAATATGAAGGTAACGAACAGTATTTAATCTCGAAAGTCCCAGAAACGGTACAAATTTGGAGCAGAGCAAACATGGTATTCATTTTATTTTTAGATATGTGATCAGGTGCCATGTAGAAGTGAGTATCCCCTACTGACCGGTCACACCTGTTGTGTGCTCGTTGTAATGATCGAAAAAAAAAAGCCAGATTAATCCGTAGACAATTCAGTTTGTAAGTAATGTCCTAACGTTGTATTCAATTACAGAAGATTGTTTTCTGCTAACTAACAGCTTCGCACTCTTGAAGATGCTTGTAACTATCTGCAACGTCCGCCCCTGGTGTTCGCCTGTCAGTTCCGATCGTCAGATGGTCTCCAACCTTCCCGAGATGTTTCGACCCTTAACCATGACATCCTTTAGTTGGTGGGTCAGCAGTGGTGGCTAATCCACTACAGTATTAGATGGATCCCGACTTCCAGCATAGATCATCGCGGCGGTGCCATATCAAGCAGGATGGTTCTTCTGCTGCTTGCCCAAATTTCTTGCTTATGTCTTGAACGCTCTTCCTGATACATCTAATCGTGTGAGCAGTTTCCACACGGATTACGCCAGGAAACCTCCACAGCTGACTTCTGTTGAAACAGCCAGACACTCGATCTAGCCTCTATCCCTGCAGTCTGCCACGAGGTCTTCAGACTTTAGGCATTTCCTCTCATGTGCCTCCTCACAATTTTCTTCCCAAGGTATAGACAGCTTCGTCTTCGATTGCTGAGTTACAAAAACTGCGTCTGGTCTTAGGATGGTTTCCACGATGATAGGGAAAATTAAATTCCTGTCTAGATCGACTCTGAGCCCTTAGTCTTGTCCTTTATCCAACACTGATGTCCGCCTTGCCGCTCTTGTGTCAGCCCTTGCTTCACCCTGTCTCACAAACTGCATCTGTTTCTTGTCTACTGGTCGCTTCCTTCTTCTTTCCACCTCCAGCACATCAGCCAACTCTCACAGGACTTGTCATGTCGCCATCTATATCTTCCCTGGATAAGCGCAACTTGGCATCCTGATAGAATATCCGCTATTGTCCCTTTCTTTCCACACAGCTTGCAGCTATGGTCTTAGCTTAGCCCCCACTGATGTAAGTCTGCAGAAGATGAGAGTGTGTCATACACTGACCTCAGCAACAGTGAGATTCTAAAATTGGTCCATCCTCTACAGTTCTGACCAGGTTTATTCCCGCACCGGTAAGTCCCACTTCATCCAGACCTTCTGTTTCCAATTTCTGTTGATTTTGCTCTCCGTCAATCTTTCTCTGTGCACTTCAGCGTACTTCAGTTTGGACCATGGTGCGCCTCTCTGATGCTGATGCTTTTGACCACTGCTGGAACTGTGACATGCCCTGTCGCCCAGTGCTTGTGTTTTCAATAATGTCTCGTAAATATAGCATACTCTCTGCTTGATCCACTAGTTTTTTGCTGACCTTTTTCGTCCTGTCCTTGTCTTGATCCCTGCATCGGCGACCCTGTCGTCTGCTGAGGTACGCAACGTCATCATCAAGCGGCATTTTGCTACCTTGAATTCCTCGACCACAGAGGATACTGGTATGTATAACTGGGTTGAGTTGCTGTAGAGTCCAATCGATGTCAGATACCCACTAATTTCTCTCTCCATGGCTTCGACTATAGAAGTTGCAATTTCATATATCAGGAGCAGCCATATGAGTCTTGGTAGGATCACATGCTGGTAGACTCTTGCCTAATATTTTCCATGAACTCCGCTTCCATCGACCCTTTTAAACGAAGTAAAGAGCTTCTTCTTTGTGTCCTCAATGCTATCTTTATCTGTGAAGGATTCATTAAACCACTTCCCCAAGCATTTAATCCGGTTTCCTACTATTGATGGGATCTCCTCTCCTTGAATTTGCATCTTGACTTGCCTGTTGATATGCCCCTTCTTCAAAACGAGACATCTGGATTTCTTTGGCTTGAACTGGATGCATGCCCAGGAACAGGAAGCGCTATAATCTAATGCTGATAGAACCCATCTTGCCTGTATACTTTTGTGGGTCGTTGTTGTCACAGTGACATGATGAATAAAGCCTCTGATTGGTGGCTGATAAATCACCGAGTTCATCCATTGCCCTCTTGTTTCTCTTTCTGCAGTCCTGGTCACCATCCTCATACGTATTACGAACTGGATAGGAGACATTGTACATCCTATAACTATCCCTTTCTCTAATCTTTGCCAGGATGTGGTGTAGTCATCGACAGTGAACCGGATCTGTATTCCCCTGAAGTAGCTCTTGACAATCCCTTGAACCTTCTCTGGTATATGGTACCGCTCCATCGCCGACTCAATCAGCTTGTGGGGCACAGATCCATAGGCTAGGCCTAACCACAGTGCTGCAATATTTTGCTTGCCGTCTTTATATAGCCTCCTTGATAAGTTGACGAATGAAACTTGTGTGTTTTACGCATCCGGAGTACAAAGGTATGCCTGCACGCCTTCTGAATAGATGGATCTATGTATGTGTTCTTCACTATACCCTGATATTCGCTTGCTAGCACTGACATGAACATTTTCACTTCCACATTTAGTAAAGATATTGTCCTAAACCGGTTGATTGTCCTCGAGTTCTTCTCTTTTTGGTACAATACATCCTTCTGCCTCTTTCCAGCTTACTGGTATCGATTCTTACCTCGAAAATACTCGAAACAGTTGTCACAGTCTTCTCAGTAGCTTTGGGCACCTCTTATACACTATGTATGGCATGTTATTTGGTTCGGGAGCTGAGTCTGATCATGCTCTCTTGACCACCTCTTTTAATTCCTTCCATGTAGGCTCCTTAATATTCATCTCAACCTCTAGTGCGCAGCGGTAATAAGGAAGCATACAAAATATTCTACCTTGAACTAAACCAGTGCTACATTATGACGTCATAGTAGGCGAGATGACGTCAATTTTAGAACACAAGTTTTAATAATATTGTTATTTAGAGATGTAATTTAACTCTAGAAAATGAATAGAAACGTGTAAACTTTAACAAAAATAAAATTTTTTTTGTTATGCTGTGTCTGTCATTTTGATTAAAATCTACCACCTATGACGTCATATGTGTACATCAAGTAACTTGGGAATTGATCATGTCTGTAAAAAGAATTTGGCTAAGACGGCATGTACTAAGATACGTAAAATGGAGTTTAAAAGCAAATATCGTGAATATTATTTGAGATTCATATGGAGTTCAGTTAATTAAACAGGTATGCTAATTTATTTTCATCGATTATATTCTCTTTCGAAAACAGTCAGATTTATACGTCTGTCGGTAGCCCTTTCCTCTGTCATTCGTGACAAAAATAATGCAAGAGAACAACAATAAGCTAGATATTTCAAAAAGATTTGTAAGATGGAAAGTTTGCCTTCTGACAAACGTGGAAAGTGCTGCTAGAATCCCGAGTTAAGCATGGTTTTACGAAAAATCTCGGTTCACATATCAAAAATTCTAAACTTAGGGTAAGGTTTCGTGCGAATGTATGGAATAATTATTTTACTGACAGGACAGTGGGATTCTAGCAGCACTTTTTCGGCAAAATAGATGTTTTTCAACTACATTATTTACTCAAAGACATTATCAAACTCCGGGGTATTGTTGTTCTGTTCGCTTTTTTATTAAGGAAAATTTCGCTATTAATAGAGGTCATGTGATGCCGTGGCAGTGGTGCACGTCTTTGCGTTAGACATTCTTTCATTTGTATGCAATAGTTAATAACACTTTTCGTTTATCAGCGGTTATGGTAATTTTTCAAAGTTAATTTTCTTCAAAAAGTCTAAATTTCCAGAGAAATGCCTGATATGCTTCTTTAACATACCCGCGTGGATCCACTTTCACCACTTCACTCCGTGGGTCAGAGTGTTTCTCATTTAAACACTTTTCAACTTCTTCTTTTGAACAGTATAGAGTCCCTGATCTTTCTTCACCTAGAAGCTCCTTTGTAAACTTAAGTGGGTTCTCCTAGGCCTTGCCCTGCTCTTCTCTCTATTCTTCTTCCTCTACCACTCTCCGTAGATTTGATAGCTCTGACTTGATGTCATTCGTCATCTGTGCCATTCCTGCTTTTTCCCATTTCTTCGCTCTTCTAAACTGTTTGTTCAGCTCGACATTCTCTAATCCTTCGCCCTCGCCTATTTATGGTCTGCTTTTTATTCTCGTTTCTTGCCTTCCCTTCCACCGTCCCAAACCGGTCTTTCTCAATGCTATACACCATGTTGGTAAGTACCTCTATCTTCCTCTCTACATTCCCTTGCATTGTTGACTCAATGATCAAGCTGACATCATCATCAAAGCCACTCAACACCGCGTCATCATCTCTTCTCGGGCACGATATCCTTGGCCTCTTTTCCTTGCCGTTTTTTTGTGTCTGCTGGCCCTGGCTATTTTCGTAGACCGAGTTCTTCCATCAGGTCGCCGCTGCTGTCCTGGGACGACTCAGACACGGAGGGGTTCCTGGCTCTGTGGGTTGTGTCCTGGCCGGGATCTTCCTACGTCTCACCAGTCAGTTTTGTGCGTTGTGTCTAGGTTGTCACAATACCACATCGACTTCTTCATTGGTGTATCTTCAGTCTACGGATGTTCTTGCAGACTTGCAGACCACTTGTGCATCTGACTTCAGCCTTTCCTCCATCTAATGATAGTTGCACCATCCTTCTAACAGTCGTGGGTTGTTCCTTGTCGTAACCGTTTGATCTGTCTGTTCGAGACTCTCATCCTCCCCCTCCCTCTTGGGAGGCTCTGGGGGTGTTGATCAGTTTGTTCCTTCGTAGCTAATTTCAGTGTCCCCTCACAGGGACTGTACAAAGGGAAGCTGCCCCTTGGTACCCTAACTAGACTATTCCTAGCAGTCACCAGTCTCTCCAGTTTCACCGTCTTCCTCAGTCTCCATCAAGTCTTTCCTGGCAGTCATGGTTAGATTAATAGTAATCAATTACAGAAGATGGTTTTCTGCTAACTGTCAGCTTGACCCTTTTAAGCATGCCTGTATCTATTATTAGTATGAAAAATGTCATTAAGCATTAGACTCAATGATATGATTCATATACATGTACTGACAAGGTCATTGTATTGATCGTAAAACTTGAGAAATGAGACTTCAAATAAAACCGGAGTTATCCGTGTTTTATTAACTTCTTTGTCAATAGCTTGTCTCGTTTTAGAAATCGTTCATACATATATCATGCTTTTGCGTATCAGATCAACTGAGAGACATAAACCCCATATAGAGGTGATAATTTTATAATGCTCCTTTATGTAAGGGTACTTAGCGATTGAAAAAAGATGAAGTCATCACGTTTATCTTAAAGCTTTGTTGTTAGGTTACCATTAACGTATTTTTCTACTACAATCTCGAAAAATGAAACAAATGTGCAGACTCTATGGTATCTTTATATCAAACTCACTATGATATATCGAGTCGACATATGAATGGAAGTAATCAATGCTAATCGATAATACTTCGACGATGTAATTTACTCAGTAACTTGCGAGAAATTAAATTTTGATTCTAACTGTATTGAATTTTTTTATGAAGGGTTTATCGGTGGATCCAGTTTTCAGTCGTCTGGTGGAGCAGCGGAGTATGTGTGTCTTCCTCCAGATCCTGCTTACGTATCTGTCAGTTCAACACACTTTCATTACATGCATGGTGGAGAGTATGATAACCCCCAAGCGGGACTAGATCACGGTGAAGACGCCCCTTGTGTCGTCTGCCGCAGTAGAACGGAAGTAAGTACTATGATGATTCCAGGGAAAAGTACCTGTTACCCTGGTTGGACTAGATAGTATCATGGCTACCTTGCAGCAGGTCATGAAAATCAGCCATCGGCAACACAATTTATCTGCATCAACGAACACCCTGATACTCTCGTTGGTGGCCAGCGAGCGTCAAAGGATGGCAGGATAATCTCGGCTGTCAGAGCAAAATGTGGCGGCTCTTTGGAATGTCCACCCTATCATGACCAAAGTGAACTATCATGCGTAGTGTGCACAAAATAAATTGAGAGAACATTCTCGAATAAATTTTTTGTTGCTATAAATTTGTTTTTTTTTTTCAATAATGATATTTCGGCCGCAATATGATTAGCTTTCTTTGACCTAACGCATAGAATCCTTCGGCTTCCACTGTCGCCTACTGCTTTTGTACAAACCATCAATTTTGAATAGGGAGCTAACTACATTATTCTGAAGACCAATGACAGAGGATTGATATGTCATCCCACCATTTAATGCATGGCTTATACATAAAATATGTGGGAATAACGCACAGTATTCAAGCTCAAAAGTCCATTAATCAATATACCTGTACATGTACTTATATTAATTGTTGTGTCCTTTCCTGATAATGAAGAAATAACCTTGAATATTGCATATAAGAAAATTAATCTGTTTACGTGGAATATCCCATCTTCGCACCCCAGGGGTTTTCTGTCTGCTTCAATCTTCGGACCAAAAACCCTTGACTTGTTTAAGGGTTTAATTGAATAAAAGTCTTTTCGTTCCTGTCACAACCACGGTCATGATCGGACCGGAAACGGAAAAAATCGTGGGCAATTCAGTGTAAAAATAATGGCCTAACTTTGTATAAAAAAATGTCAATCCACATTCGACTTAGTATTTATTTGCAGACTCGTTTAAGAAATTATTGTCCTTTCTGACATATTTTATTTTATTTTTTAAAAAATGGTATATGATCAAGATTTTGAAAAGGTAGCACTTTCGTTAATCGTGATATACGTTTACAAAAATGTTCGTGAAAATGATGAGAAAAATAGGTATTATTACATGTATATCAAATGTAAATCCTCATGCCATGTTTTCTGCACAATAATAAGGTACACTCACAGATGTCTGTGCTGTTTCATACTGTATGGATGTATAATGATGCGATCTGTGGTCAGCAGCTCTATCTCCCTCCTTGCAGAAATAATTCGATCTCTTTGTCTTCAATCTTATTTTACGTGTATGACATTTGTCTGTCAAACTGATAAGAATATAATCTAAAACCCCATTTCCTGGTGCAGAGTTGGAAATATGACTTGGTTTTTGTTAATGAATCTTCTTTGTTTCTTTGTAAATGGTGAAAAGAGGCTACTTCTAAGTGATCCTTCGTTGATACAGTCGCAGCTTCATGAATTGGAGGTTAGATTTACGGATCTCATGTTGAAGTACACTGCGCAAGAGGCGGCCTTGAATGATCTGCGATCAAAGCACATTGCACAACAGGCGACCTTGAATGACCTGAAATCCAAGTACCAGAGTCTCCTGGTCTCAAACAATGACCTTGGTACTAAATTGCGGTCAGTTAAAGGTAGTACATATTCATCTCTTAAATCTGTTTATCTTTCACTTTCACATGTTAAAATCGTGCATTAAAAGATTGAGGAGAAATATGAAAACCATCTATCCAGAAGTGAAAAAAATGAACTACAATGTATATAGATTACATGATCATTTCGTACTGGTCCTTGCTGACAAAGCAGGTAATTACATTCTCACATGTTTCTAAGGCTCTTTATATAAATTGCATTTGAGAAGAACTTGGGTTTAATTCTACAAGTGGTGATACAACTTATACTCATGTGTCCCTTTCTTGTCAAGAAATTCTTCAAAATCATATATCAGTTTGGAATATTTTTTAATATTCCAAACAATCAAATTAAATTTAAATTGGCATATCTATATTTCGAAACTTCATAAATTACATAGCAGGTCCCAGTATAAATGTTCAACCAAGCCTCTTTCTTTACCTCTCAATGAGATATTAACCGTAGTGAAGGAGAAACTTCAAGAATACTTTGCAACAATATACTCGTACACTGTATTCGAGAAATGGTGTAAATCAGATGTTAATACTTTGTACTCTGTAGTATTGTTCAAGTAAATATCAGATGCACATTGAAAATAATATTAATTTGTCATACTATTTCGTTTTGTTAACAGGTGGAGCCATTTTTGTCCGATGGGGCAAGAAGGTGTGTCCATCAAATGGCACGGAGCAGATATATTCAGGTGCCTACATTTTCATATTTGCTAATTTATTTGTTACTTTAATATAATCTTTTTTAGCCTTTTTAGCAATGAACTGAAAATTCGATCCAAGTATTCATGTTTTAATGTATAATTTCAAATAAATAATCGTTATAATGCAGAAAGATCGTTCTTTGTCTATCATAAGCATGCATACAATTTTTAAATCAAAAATATGCAGAAAAAACTTTTTCTAATGAAATATGAAGGTAACGAACAGTATTTAATCTCGAAAGTCCAAGAAAGAGTAAAAATTTGGAGCAAAGCATATATGGTACTCAATTTATTTTTAGATATGGGATCAGGTGCAGTGGAGAAGTGAGTATCCCCTACTGACCGGTCACACCTGTTGTGTGCTCGTTGTAATGATCGAAAAAAAGCCAGATTAACCCGTAGATAATTCAGTTTGTAAGCAATGTCCTAACGTAGTATTCAATTACAGAAGACTGTTTTCTGCTGACTGACAGCTGCGCACTCTTAAACATGCCTGTAGCTATCTGCAACGTCCGCCCCCTGGTGCTCGCCTGTCGGTTCCGATCGTCAGAGGGTCTCCAACCTTCCCCGAATGTTTCGACCCTAAATCATGATCTCCTTCAGTTGGTGTGTCAGCAGTGGTGGCTAATTCAATACAGTATTCGATGGATCCCGACTTCCTGCACATCATCTCAGCGGTGCATGCCATATCGAGCAGGATGACTCTTCTGCTGCTTGCCCAAATTTCTTGCTTCTGCCTTGCACACGCTCTTCCTGATACACCTAATCGTGTGAGCAGTTTCCACACTGATTACGCCAGGAAACCTCCACAGATGATCTCAATTGGAATCAGCCAGACACTCGATCCAGCCTCTATCCCTGCAGTCTGCCATGAGGTCTTTATACTGTAGGCTATTCCTCTCATATGCCTCCTCACAATTTTCTTCTCATGGTACAGTCAGCTTCGTCTTTGACTGCTGAGACACTAAAACCGCGTCTGGTCTTAGGTTGGTTTCCACGATGTTAGGGAAAACTAACTTCCCATCTATAGATCGACTATGAGCTCCTAGTCAATGTCCTCTATCCAGCACTGATGTCCGTCTTGCTGCTCTTGTGTCAGCCCTTAATGCTTCACCCTGTCTCACAAACTGTATCTATCTCTGTTTCTTGTCTGCTGGTCGTTTCCTTCTCCCCACCTCCAGCACATCAGCCAACTCCCGTAGGACTTTGTCATGTCGTCATCTATATCTTCCCTGGGTCAGTGCAACTTTGCATCCTGATAGAATATGCGTCATTGTTCCTCCCTTTCCACACAGCTTGCAGTTAGTCTTCGCTTAGCCCCAACTGTTGTAAGTTTACAGGAGAAAGGAGTGTGTCATACATGATCTCAGCAAGAATGTGATCTAAACTGGTCCTTCTCCCACAGTTCTGCGCAGCCTGCATGCTTGCCCGGGAAACCCTATCTTCCAATGCTGATTGAACCCATTTTGTTTGTATATGGGTCGTATAGTTGTCACAGTGAGATCATCCATAAAGCCTCTGATTGGTGGATAATAAATCCCCGAGTCCATCCTTGGCCCTCTTGTTTCTTTTTCTGCAGTCCTTGTAACCATCCCCATATCCATTACGAACAGGATAGGAGAGATTGTACATCCTGTGACTATCCCTTTCTTTACTCTTTTGCCAGGATGTAGTGTAGTCATCGACAGTGAACTAGATCTACATTCCCCTGAAGTAGCTCTTTACAATCCCTTGAACCTTCTCTGGTATATGGTACCGCTCCATCGCCAACTCAGTCAGCTTGTGGTACACAGATCAATACTAGATGGCTAGGTCTAACCACACTGCTGCAAAATTTTGTCTTGTCGTCTTTGGCCTCCTTAATGAGTTGACCTATGACATTTGTGTTTTCTACGCATCAGGAGTACCCAGATGTGCCTGTCTTCTGAATTGATGGATCCATGTACTAGTATCTGTTCTCCACCATGTACCCTGATATTCGCTTTGTTAGCACTAATATGAACATTTTCACCTCCTCATTTAGCAAAGATATTGTCCTTAACTGGTTGATTTGTCCTCGAGTTCTTCTCTTTTGATACAAACTATCCCTCTGCCTCTTTCCAGCATACTGGTATCGACCTTTTCCTCCAAATTACTCAAACAGTTGTCACAGTATTCTCAGTAACTTTGGGCACCTCTTATACACTATTATGATATGTTATTTGGTTCGGGCGCTGAGCCTGATCATGCTTTCTAGACCACCTCTTTCAATTTTTTCCATAGGCTCCTTAATAGCTGCAGATCTGTAGCGTTATGGTTTTATATACCTGGTATTTGTCTTTGACCATAACGCTAAGGATCCCGTAATTCAAAAGAGGTGCAATTTACGGTGCAATTTTTTTTTGCGCACTTTTGGGTACAATTTCTCCACTTTTCAGCATCGGTCAATTAATTACCTTTCACTCCCTAATTCTAGGCAAATTATTTAACTAGTCTGTATATTTCATCCATCTCCAAACCCTTTATACTCATCTCTACAAGTGATAAACTCGCTTGATTAAAATAATTTGTTTGATTTCTGAAAATTCACTTCAAGCGAGTTTATTACCTGTAGAGACAACTATAAATCATGTAAATGGTTGGGAGGTGGATAAAATATACATACTGGCAACAGAATGTGTCTAGAATTAATGAGTGAAAGCGTTATGGTCAAAGACAAATATATAAAACCTTAACGCTACAGATCTGAAACTAGCTCCTTAACATCCATCTCAACCTCTGGTTGATCCATTATCACCTCACTAGGGCACTGACCCAGTGGTTCTCTTCTCCGTGGGTCAGAGTGTGTCTCATTTAAATACTCCTCCAATTCTTCCTTTGAACAGTGAAGAATCACTTCCTCTCTACATTTCCTAGCATTTTTGAATCAAGGACCATGCTGACATTTTCATCGAAGTCACTTCACACCGCCTCATTATCTCCTCTAGGCCATGAT